GCAGGGCCAAGGCCAAGGGCACCAAGAGGATGAACCTCACCGTCGACGCCGCCGCCAATTTCAATTCCAATTCCAGCACCGGAGATTTCAGATCTGGAATTTTGAAGCTGAGTAGTTTTGTGAAATTGAGAGGCAGAGTGCGTTTGATTCATATCTTCCGGAAGAGGACGACGTCGGAGATCAACTGCTCCTTGAATTTGGATTTGAATTCTCGTCAAATCCAGCACAATTGGGTTTGCGAGTGAGCAGAGCAACGCACATAGAGGCCATCGATTCCACAACCGTAATTATTATTTTTTATTAGTTTATACCTTTTTTTTAATTCTTCGAATTTGGTTACAATTTTGGAGGTTTTTTTCTCTTTCTTTTTCTGCGTACCATGTAAATATAAATATATATGTTACGTGATTGAATATGATAATTTAGAAAATGATTCGATTTTTAGATATTATTTTTATTTAGATGTTTTATTCTTATTATGATTAGAAATCATATTAGGAATTATTCTATCAGATTAAGATACTGTATTGAAACCTCTCTTTCCTCCTCCCTAAAAACCTTCTTGATCTAGTAAGCCAATAACTCATGTTTTAGCTTTTACGATCGAATTTCAATAATATTCATCAAATATAGATACTCTCATTCTTTATTATTGCATATTTTTAATTAGTGGACTTAGTAAATTTTTAAGTAATATTTTCATTAGTAATATTGGTAATATTTTCATACTCTCATTCTTTATTAGTAATATTTTCATTTTTTAATTTTTATATATGTCAATAAATTTTATTATCAAATAGGGTTAAGATAGGATAATAATAATTTTATAGTTCGAATCTCCACCCTTATTTTTTTAATTCAAAATTTCTTAAAGATAAATACTTTATTGGATAATTTATGGACGTTAACATGCATTAGAGAGTTTCTTTTGTTGAAAGTTTTACTTTAACTACTAGAATTAACGGGAAAGGAGTGGATGTCATTTTTTTTTTCCTTCTTTTATTTTGTTTTCTTTTAATTTTTTTTTTAGAATTTGAAGCAAAAATTAAAAAGAATTACTATGTATAAAAGAAGTGTTAATTTGTATGAAGGGGGGGAAAGTTTGAATTCAATATAAGTTTTCTGAAACTATTATCCCCATGGTTTTAGTTAATTAATTTAATCAAGTTAATTTTGTTTATCAGTTTGCTAATTAACTAGTCTTAAAGAATTTATACGTTTTTCTTCCCATCATGTAACATTAAATATATTGAGCTGAAAATATTAATTTAAAGAATTAGACATGACTATTTATGAAATCAAAAGTCTAATTCACTTTGAATTTAGAACAGGGAGATCAAATTAGATCAGAATAATATATTTATAGTATAAACCTAAAAGTATGATTCCAAAGAGAGATTATATCTACATATATCACGAAATAAATTAACAACCACATGTATAATAGATTACCATAGGTTACCAGAAATTGCATCAAAGAAAGAATAAAAAAGATTACCATAAATTGCTCCAAATAAATCTCCATTTCCAACCGTTTCTAACCATTTTTTTGTCAAAGAAAATAAAACCCCTAAAGATATCAAATTAAGGGGAAAAAAAGGGGAAAAAATCAATTTTAATTTTAAACTTGTAACTTCAATTTCATCTCATTTCAACTTAAAAAAATATCAATAATTATGGTAAAATTTACCCTAAACTTGTAAAACTGTTGCAATCTTTCACTAGTGATAAATTTTCAATTGAAAAAAATAGAGTATTCTCATGTATATTTAATGAAATTTTAAAATATATATGGTATATGAAATTGACTTGATTTCAAAAAGATCCACTAGAACTATATACAGCACATTAGAACTATATATATATACATTGATCAGTTGCGACAAAGTTGTTCAATGATTTATTTTGTGTATTGATCAAAATTTTTAGTAAATAACATTAAAAAATTAACAATTGCATTCAAATTTAGTTCTATTTGATCGTCATTGTGATTTCGATCTCATTCTAATTTTTTCATTTCGATTCCTTATCATACCGATTCTTAGTGAATTTTTGGAGATTTTTTTTTCTTCCTGAGTTTTTGGAGATTTTATACTAATTGTTGTTAAAATTAATAAGTGAATTAATATAAATTGAATAAAGGGTAAATTTTTTTCAAAAAAGTTCTAGTAGATAACATCAGACATTTGATTCGGATTTAGTTCTATTTGATTTTCATTTTGATTTCAATCTCATTCTCATAATTGGTTTTATTCTAATTTCTTTTTTCATTTCGATTCCTTATCGTACCGATTCGCCTAGTGAGTTTTCGGAGTTTTTTTTTGGTTGTGTGTGTGGAATGTGGGTTTTGGAGAATTATATACTATTTATTGTTAAAATTAATAAAGTGAGGGTAAAAATTTCAAAAACAAATTGAAAGTTTACCATGAAAATTGATACCACCCAGAGTAAAAATCGATTTTTAACCAAATTAAAGAGAAAAAAAAAAGAAGAAGAAATCATCTTCTTGAAATCTGAAGAGGAAACGCTTCTGACGAAATCATTACAGATTAAATTTCCCAAAGCACCGTTTTCTTTCATTAAAAGATATATATAAAGAAAAGAATCGACATTGGAACTACAAAATCCGTTTCCGTCTCTCTTCTATAAAACCCTTCCATATATACATCCCCCTTCCCAGCCGGAATCAATGGCGGCACAAGAAACTTCCGGCGACCGGCCGGCCACGCTCAGATCAAGGCGCAGAGCATCAGAGCGCTGCATCAACGCCTGCTGCATTTACCTCTTCGCCGGCGCCGCCGCGGCCTGCGTCGCCGTCCTCATCCTCGGCCTCACCGTGGTCCGCGTGAAAACCCCCACCGCAAAATTAAGCTCCGTCGCGGTAAAAAATCTGAGCTACGGCTTCTCCCCAAACCCTTTCGTGGACGCCACATTAATCGCCGAGGTAACCATAGAAAATCCGAATTTTGGAGAATTCAAGTACGAGGAAAACACGGACGCCAGCTTCATTTACTACGGCGTGGCGGCGGGAATCGGCGAGGTGAAACGGGTGTCCGTAAATGCAAAGGGCGTGAAGAGGACGAGCTTTAGTGTGGAAGTGAAAACAAATGCGAGCGTTGCTGACGTGGATTACATGAGCTACGATTTAGCGAGTCTGAAGAGGATGAATATGAGCTGCATCGCCGAGTTTGAAGGGAGGGTCCGTTTGTTGAAATTGTTTAAGGAGATGAAAGTTTCTTTGTTGAAATGTACCATGACTCTCAACTTCAGCTCCCATGCCATCCACAATCTTGCTTGCCAATAGAACTCGAAACAACCGATTGGATGCAGGTTCAAATTCTGTCGATTTCTTACAGCGGTTCAATATAGATTTGATTTTTTTTAATCTTGCGTTTTTTTAATAAGGTTTTTCGGTTTTGTTTTGTGATTTATTATTATTTTTTTTTAGTACAAGGTTTTGTTTTGTGATTAATCACCATTTTCCTATCAATATTTGTTCATTTTTCAGTTATATTCAAGTTAGAAATAGACGATGCTATTATTTTTGTGTAAAAAAATGTTAATAATTTGGCTGTTTAAATTGTTGTTAAATTTACTATTTTAGTTCATGGTTAGCTAGATGTGTGGAAGAAGCTGAAACGTACGTTATAGGGTTGCTATTAATTTTGATTTTTTGGATAATACCCAATTTATTGTTCATGCATTTGATTTATATTGCTCTCTCTTCAAAATGGGTGGTCAATTTTTATTTTTTAATAACAAAAGGTAATTTTTAGTCAAATAGATTATTACATGTTAGTAAGTGGTATATTTATTTAATTCATATCTTTTCAATCTCCTCCCGAGAGGATGCCTATCTAGATTGTCAAGTCGAATATAGCTAGGTAGTAATTGACATATATTTCAAATGAAGAGGTTCTGAGTTTGATCTCCAACCGCATGTCGTACTAAAAAAAGATGCATATTCGCGTTAATTGGAGAGAGATTTACCATTCTTAATATAAGTCAAGATGGCGAGTTGACTATCCCAAAACATAGGTCCAAAATTGATTTACAAAAAGATGACTTTTAATACCTTACTTTAAATTAATCTAAAATTTTTTATTTCTAGATTTTTGAGAAACTTTCTTGAGAGTGTTTGTAACAAGTCTATTTTTTTTATTATTAATACAAAAAATAAAAATAACCCATCATAGTCCAAACATTCGTACTTTATTTATTTTTTTTCCAGAACCTTGAATTATGTGAATAATTCATACCAACGGAATAGATTTTGATGGTTGGATTATTCTAAGTTTGGGTTTATAAATATCATTTAAACTTATTTAGAAATTTACCATTTAAGAAGTTCCTCAATCCAATTAATAAAACAAATCTTTATTAAAAAACAACTATTATAATTTTTTTTTTTAAAAATTTGAGAATTAAAAATGTCAAAACAATAAATCATTATTCTTGATTCTAAAGTTCTTGTCTTCTATCTAAAACCCAATGTGGCAAGTTGTGTCTATGAAAATCAAAATGGGACAAATTTGTTATTTCTTGTATAACTGTCTACCTATTTGGCTCTTTCCTCTTTCTGCCACCAAATGTGTTCAAATAAATTATTCATATATTTTTAATGATTCTAGAATAGAAAATAAATCATATTTAAATAAACTAAGCTCAAACTAGCTTAATTTGTCATTGCATTTTTTAAAACAGATTACAATTTTTTTTTTGTCTCCATTCTTTTGCTTATTAATGTGGGTCACATTTACCCTTAGAAATTTTCTATTTTATTAAAATTTAGCTTTCAACTTAAATAAACGGTAAAATCAATACTTTATTTTTGTGTTTATTTTTAAATTTATGGCTATTTAGAAACCTGAGACGAATTTCTTGGGCCAACATAGCCCATGGGCTTTTACCCAGGGTGTTTAGGCGAGGTATTGAAGGGTGCCCATGCCCATTTGTGGTGCAATATATTTGTGTAATTGTGGAACTATTACACTTTTATTAATATTATTATTTAGTTATATGAGGTGGAGGATTTGACTTTCAATTTTAGTGAGATAAGTAATACGTTGATTAATTAAACTATGCTTATGTTGGTAATTGTATAGTATTATTATACGTATATATGCCATATGCTATTTCAATATGTTTTACATATGGAACTCAAGAATAATGTGATAATAAATAATAATCTAATTCATAAAGGTTAAAAGGATGACATGGTGTAATATTTGAGATAATTATTGGCATTTTCTTTGGAAAAAAAATATATTTTAAATTTAGATGAAAGTTAAACCTTAAATTAACCGTGTGGAAATTTTAAAGATTTCTTAAAAGTAGAGAGATTAAATTTGGACATTTAGAAATAAATAAAATAAAACAAGGTCCCAAAATTGTAGATACCAAAATGATATTTAAACAAATAAAACCTTATTTCATACAATTTAGAATGTAGTAACTTGCTCTAAATTGTTTGTTATTGAAGATTGACCCATTAAAATAATGTTGGTGTTAATAATTGGCAACTTCACAAAATTTATCATTTTCTAGTTCATACATCATTGTTATTTTAAAATTTAGTGATGTTTTTATAAAAAAGAAAGAAAAAATAATTGTAATATTTTAATTGAAAATTGAAATTTAAGACCAAATTAAAAAGGTCATACTATACTTTATGTCTTACTTTCTAACTCACGAGTATAACTTAGTGTTAATTGGCACATATATCTTTAATCAAGATGTTGTAAGTTCGATCCCCTATCTCCATATACTAAAACAAAAACTCTAAGCCACTTGCAAATACAAAGAAAAAAAAATTGTTAATTACAAATATAACAATAAAAACAAAAAAGAAGAGTCGATAATACGCTTAAACAAGTAATTCTGTAAATTAATTTATATTAGATATATTAGTTATTTTAATGATATACCTAAAATGAAGTATTATTATTCCTATGATTGATATACTTTATATTAGTTATATAAATGATGTATTATCATTAAACTTGTGATGTTACTTAAGCCCAAAATCTTCAACTCAAAGGAAATAGTCGGTGACATACCGCTAATACGAAGTACATCATTCATATATTTAGTATGATTGATATACTTGATATTGGTATATTAATTCCATCGGTGATATACTTAGTATATATTTGATATATAATTGATATACCTAATATTAAGTATATAAGGAATATACATCATATTATGTATGTCGATGAGAAGAAATAGAAATAACAAAATAAAAATGAAAATTTACTTTTAAAAATTTTACCATATTTACCAAACCAAAAGTATTCTCAAATATGAGAAATATTTTTGCAATCCACTAAAAATGGATTTTTTTAACATTGTTTTTAAAAAACTTATTTCAAAATAATTACTTCTGCCAAACTTATTCTAAAAATATTTAGAAATTGTTGGTTAGGTGGCGGTGCATGTTAAGGGACGATATGGTAAGATTTAGAAAAGAAAAGCTAGCATCGTTTTTTTAAGAGAGGAAATGCATCGCCACACATAATCAGATCATCTCTATCGTCTAATAATTTCTAAGCATTATTTTTCGAATAAGTTTGTCAAAATATAAATATATTAAAAAAAAGACAATATTAAAACAATCCATTAAAAATACCTTTAATTGTTTGTTTGTTTGTTTTTTTTATCGAGTTTTTTTTTTATCGAGTTTGTTTGTTTTTTTTTTAAGAACGATACCTTCAATTTTGTTGGACGGTTTACGATTTTTATTATTATTATTATTCTTTTTTTTTGGAGGATGGTTTACAATTTCTCTTCTCCACTTTCATCTTGACATATTGTCGAGGACCACTTATTTTCTCAAGCGTAAAAGACTCATCTTTTTGGCTAATTTTTCTCATTTTGTCTTTCCTTTTCCACGTCAATTTTCTCAAGTCCCCTTATTTTATTTTTATTTTTATCATTATCTTTTTATTTTTATTTTGGGAAAATTTCTCAAGTTTCCTTTACTAGTTTCCAAGAAAATGCTTTTAAAAATCATCTTTGAAAAAATAGAAACCTAGTATGTTAAACAAAAACAACACCCATAATGATAATTTTATTTATTATTATTTTTTTGTTCCGAGTGTGATTAAAAAGTCTTTATGGAAAATGGGAAATTGATTAATTTGTCTACATGATACTAATATTTAATCCACTTAATAAGGACAGAAGAAAACGACTTCATTTGGTCTTCGCACCCATTTGAATTCAATTATCTTATCATGATAATTAATCATACATCAAATAATTAATGAATTTTGTTTTTTTTTTTAAAATTCTATATAGGTTTAAATCTCATTGCCCATGACCAACATTTTTTTTTCAGTACAAATGGCTCATAACCAACATGAACTTTAGCTCAATAATAATATCAAGAGGTATGAGTTCGAATACCCCACTTCCACTTATTATACTTAAAAAAAAATCTCATTACTTTTCGATAAAAACATCTACTTCTATTGGAACTTTAAATCTCCACACGCTATACATTTTGCTAATTCTAAAAAAAGGCATCTACTTATTTCTTTCCACAATATCATATTTGTACGTTATACTAAAATAAAATAAAAATTCAATTTTAGTCTCTATTCCTTTAAAACGTATCTTTCTACAATTTCATATTTGTTGTTATATTGAAATAAAATAAACCTAAAACTTGAGAGATCTCAATGGAAAAATGATTAAAATGAAATTTAAACCTTATATATATATAGTTAATCAAAAAGAAGATAATTGGTATATATACGAGGAACATTTTGATTGGTGTGAGATTTTTGGGTGATCTAGAGCAACAAAATCGTGAGATTATTATGTAAAAGGGACAATGGATCAAAACATTTCACTAGTCAACCTTTTGCCCAATCAACACGTTTTTCAAAAAGAAAAAAAAAGGGAAGATGAAAACTCCTAAAGCAAAACACCAGAGACTGCAGACTGACTTGACGATGGAGTCTTTATTCCAAGATCAAAACCAACAATTAAATACCCAAAATTTCCCTTCTTTCCCCCTCATTTCTCCATAGCCATGGCAGAGAAAGAGCAAGTCAAGCCCTTGGCAGCTTTCCCCCCCGGCCAATCCCGCAGCGACGACGATGATCGTTTCCTTCTTTCTCCGGCCAAGCTCCGCCTCCAAACGCACAAATACATCAAGTGCTGCGGTTGCTTCGCCGCTCTTCTCTTAATTCTCGCCGTTGTCGGCATCGTCCTCAGCTTCACTGTCCTCCACATCAAAAATCCAAATATCGAAATTGATACCCTATCGTTCTCAAACAGTGGTTCAGGTGAGTTTGAGATGACTTTTTCAAAAAATGAAAAATACAAACACTTTTTTTTTTTTTTTTTTGAGAAATATCAAATAATTCATCTTTCCACTTTTTCATCAGACGGTGAGATGATCATTGTGGCAAGCGTCTCCGTGAAAAACCCTAATGTTGCATCCTTCAAATACTCAAAAACCACGACAAAAATTTATTACGGTGGCAAGGTCATCGGAGAGGGCGAGACCCCGGCCGGGGAGGCGAAGGCGAAGGAGACGATGAAGATGAATGTGACGGTGGCGATTGGGCTTGAGAAGATCGATGACGTTTCGAGTTTGATGAAGGATTTGAACTCGGGATCATCTTTGAATATCAATAGCTACACGAAGATTCCGGGGAGGGTCAAAATACTTGGCTTCATCAAGAAAAACTTGCTTGTGAGGATGAACTGTTCCATGACTTACAACACTAGAAGTCAGACCATTCAAGGGGAAAATTGCAATCAACCAGTAGAAGTCTCTGATTAATGAAGAGAGAAACTTATGCAATTGTATTATAGAATGATGAAATTATATATATATATATATATATATTTTCAGGTAGGTAAATTCATACTAAACTTTTTATTTTTATTTTATTTTTATTACACAATTATTACAAAAAGTTTATGATAAAATATAGAGTAATTAGTTGAATTTTAAACTGTAATTTTTTCAACAGTTTATCTTGCTTCTTTTTTTTTGGGTCAAGTTCAATATCCTTCCTCCCCACATTTTAATGTACTAGAAAAACTATATTTGATTAATAACAATAATTTATTTTTTTCTTTTAAATTTAATCACATTTTAAAAATATTAAAATCTCGAATATATCTATTGATATTTATTTTCCCACATTAACGGACTGTTTTTTAGGAAATTAAGCTAACATGTATTTGAATAATCAATCTCTAGCTATCGTGTGTTTTCTCCTAAAGATTTCACTAAAAGTTAGTCAAAAGCTATCCAGAAAAAAGATGAATTTGTGTGAAAAACGAATGATAGATTAAGCATTTAATTATTTAAGTTTATTGATGGAGACATACAATTAAGACTTCATGATCTGTTTTTCTCCCTTTGAGATATTCAAATCTAAATTAAAGGTGTCATATAATAAGCAATCTACACGTCTAATTGTTTAGACAAAGCCGTCTAAATTTATTAATTATATTATGTGCATCGAACCTTCCAAAGATATAAAGTCAAATATTCTATTTTTAGAATACTTATTCCATCCTCATAAAGAAATGACTGATGACTAATTTATTTATTATGTATGAGCACTTTGATTATTCCACAGCCCGCGAGAGGTCACAGATTTTAGACCAATCCCTCTTTTTTGTAATGTGTCGTATAAAATCATTACAAAAGTTTTGGCCAATCGTCTAAAATTTGTTAGAGGGAGAATAGTATCGAACACTCAATCTGCTTCCATTCCGGGTCATGCTATCTTGGACAACATTAGGGTTTATGGCCTAAACTCGTAGTTTGTAAATGTAATTATAAATTTATTTATTTCAACAAAATTGTTATTGATATTTATTTTAGACTTTCATTAATCCAAATACAATAAACTAAACATATGAGGTTATTTCATGTAGCTATACCGGGTGTTGGGTTTTATGCCCTAAGTTCGTGGGTTTGTAAACAAAAAATAAATATTTATTCACTGAAATTGTTATTGATGTTTCTCTTAGAATTGTATTAACCCAAATCCAATAAACTAACATCCGAGGTTATGTCATGTAATTGGAACAGTATATATAACAAATATACAATATATGAATATACAATATATATATTTGATATACAGTGTATATATATACAATATATATTTGATATATAGGTGGATAATGTTCTACTAGTAACCTAAAAGGTCTATAGTATATGGATAAGGTTGGGTACCTTGTCCTAGTAACACTATGAATACGACCAACTTTGTAATAGTTTACAACTGACTTGATTCAGGTCGTTCGTGTGGAGACATGTGAGTGGGGGTATCGTATACAATGAGTTTGTATAAGACCGAACCGTGAAATAATTAATCTTTAGCTGTAACACAGTTAGCTAATTGATTAGTATTTCAATAGGATGACCAGGTAACTCAATCTCAATCCTGAGTGAGTTATGAACTTCTTCCTGTTAGGGCTCGTCTTTTGATTTTTATGGGTGAAAATGACCCGAGTCGTCGACTCAATATTCCTACCATTTTGGAGACGAGATCGAGTGGGGAGCTGGAACATAACTACACAAGATGAAATTCACTCATTCCTGACTTTAGGATAAGTAGATGAGTGTTCCCTTTTAGTGCTGACTCCAGGAGTTGAACAAGGGGCCCCACCCTCTTACTGGCCCGAGACGGACTTCCGGTTATTGGTTGGACCGTAACCAGGTTGTTCATTAGAGGATCAACAATACTTAAGGTACAAGATGTAATACAGGGGTAAAATAGTAATTTGATTCAGCTGTGGTTACGAATACTCGTGAAGGATTGACTTGCCGTTAATGGGAAAAAGACGTAGACGCAAAATACTCTACAGTGAGAAAAGTGCAGCTGTGCGTCTTTAGTGGAGTGACTGACAGTTAACGAATGTTGATTAATATGGTTAATGAGTTTAATCAATTAATCTCGTATCGTTGGAGCTTCTAATCTGTAGGTCCATTAGGTCCCCTTGCTAGCTCGTAAAAGATAGTTAAGAACATTTAATCTTAAAAAGAATTTGAATTGTTCAAATTTGTTAAAGGGAATTAAAGTTAATTACATGAGATACAATTAATATAATGCATGTTGATACATTATGATATAATTTTAATTTTGAATTGGGTTAAAAAATTATGAGAAGGATGTATATTAGAATTGTTGATTAATTTAAGTTCAATTTAATTAAATTAGTTTAACTAATGGGTTATGTTAATTTGATTAAATTTAATTAAATTAATAATTCTTTTTTGTAATTAATTAAATTTTATTTAATTAATTATTAACTAAAATAATTTTAATTAAATAAAAACAAAAAAAAAAGAAAGAGAAAACCCCCAACTTCCCACCATTAATAGAGAGGTGGTGACTTCCCTCTTATTCTTCCTTCCTTATAAAAGGGAGGTTTTCCCCTTCCTTTTTCGGTTGAATGAGTTTACCAAAACTCTAATGAGAAACCGATCTCTCAATCTCTCGATCTCCCTCTTAATTTTAAGACGGTTCCCATAAATCGAGTTATTAACATCCAGAGGACAGCGAGGAAGGTCTTTTGGTGGCGTTGGTGTCTACATTGAAGAAGTGTCTTCAAAGGTATGTTTCACTACTTCCATTTAATAATTCTTATGTCTTTTCGTTGTTGTATTTCCAAAACAAAATCGAAGCACACGCGTTCGCGCGCTTCAGTTGCGGGATTCGATCCCTTCACCGGGTATATAATTGATATACTCTAGATATATAAGTGGACAATGTCCTGGTAATAACCTAAAATGTCTATAATATATGGATAAGGTTGGATACCTTATCCCGGTAACATTATGGATACGACCCACTTTGTAATAGTTACAAATGACTTGATCTAGGTCGTTCGTGTGGAGACATGCGAGTAGGGGTATTCTATACAATGAGTTTGTATAAAACCAGACCACGAAATAATTAATCTTTAGCTGTAACACCGTTAGTTAATAGATTAATATTTCAATAGGACGACCAGGTAACTCGATCTCAATCTTGAGTGAGTTATAGCCTCCTGCCTGTTAGGGCTCGTCCTTTGATTTGTATAGGTGAGAGTGACCCGAGTCGTCGACTCAACATTCTTACCATTTTGGGGACGAGACCGAGTGGGGAGCTAGGAATATAATTTCACAAGATGAAATTCACTCCTCCCCGACTTTAGGGGAGTAGATGATGAGTGTTCCCTTTAGTGTTGACTCTGAGACTTGAACAAGGGGCCCCACCCTCTCACTGGCCCGAGAGAGACTTCCGGTTATTGGTCGGACCATAACCGAGTTGTTCATTAGAGGATCAACGATACTTAAGGTAGAAGATGTAACATAGGGTTAAAACGGTAATTTGACCCAGTTGTGGTTACGAACACTCGTTAATGATTGACTTGCTGTTAATAGTCGATATCCGTGGACACAAAAATATTGTATAGTGAGAAGAGTGTAGCTGCGGGTTTTTTAGTGGAGTAACCCGTAGTCAAGGTATGTTATTAAGGTTGTTAATGAGTTTAACAAATTAATCTCGTAATGTTGGAACTTCTGATCTATAGGTCCATTATGTCCACTGCTAGCTCACAACGGGTAAAATAAAGATCAAGGTTTTTTTTTTTAAAGAATTTGAGTTCAATTTAAATGAGGGACTCACATAATACATATAAATACATTATAATATAAAGTTAATTATGAACGACATTCATAATTCAACCATATATTATGAGAGTTATATTTGAATAAGATTCAAATAATAATTAATATTTATTGGATTCATATTAACACTATAGGTTAAAATTAAAGTGAATGAAATTCACATTAAAACTATAGGTTAGGAGAAATATACCTTTGAATATGATTCAAATAAAGCTTTAATTAAATATATGATATTTAATTATAATTATTATTAATTAGTTTGTTTAATAACTAATTAATTAATTAATTAAATTGAAATTAAGTTAATTTTAACTTACTTAACTCTCCTTTTCCTCGCATTTTGCAAGGTAGTGGGAAGTTGGTGGGTGGAGGGTCTCCCCTCTCTTCTCCCTCCCTGTAAAATGCAGAAGGCTACATTTTGGATGAGTTGAACAAATTCTCTCAAAAGCTCTCTCTCAAGAAATCCTTCTCTTATTCAAAAGACGATTCCCACAAATTGATCATTGCCTAGAGAATAGTGGGAAAGATTTTTTGGTGGTGTCGGTGTATACGTCGAAGAACGATCTTCAAGGTTTTTATTCTTTGCTTTGCTTTGCTTTCTTAGTAGTTTTTCTAAACAAAATCGAAGCACAAACGTTCATGCGGTTCTTCTATCCCTTAAAAAGCTTGGTTTCGACCCTTCCTGGGTGAGTCTGATCATGAATTATATTTCTACGGCTAGCTTTTCTATTATTATAAACGAAATTGAAAAGGGAAGAATAATCACCTTTAGAGGATCTCCCTGCTTATTCCTTATATGTGTTGAAGGCCTTTTAGCGTCCCTTAGTGAGGGTATCTAGGAGGGGTTTAATTTCTGGGGCTTCTATCATTAGTTCTTGCCTAAATATTTCGCATCTCTTCTTCGCCGATGATAACCTAATATTTTTTTTAAGGTTAATGCTTTCGAATGCTCTCAAAGTAAAAGGGTCCTGATCAATGAGTATAAAAAGGCTTTCGGAAAAAGTATAAACTTTAAGAAGTCGGTGATAACTCTCCATAAGAATATTTTGTGGCATAATTTGGGTAATATATGTGTGGACATGTGAGGGTCCTTGTTAAAATAACAAGAAAAAGAATAGAAATTAGCAAGCTAGGGTTCTGAGATGTTAGAATTC